TATGCTATAGCTGTACAATGAGTAACAGAATCAGGTCAACATGTGGCATTGCTACAAAGACCATTACTGTTTGCAGGTGTGTGGAAACTCAAGCTCCTTGTGCAGCATTCCTTCTTACTTGCTAACACCTTGTTCGATTCTTTTAAACAATCCCGCAGCCATTAAAAACAAACGGGAACGCGTTCACACGCTGCAGGATTGAAGAGTTGAAGACTGAGGCGCAACACGAGCGGCGTCACAGTCACACTCACTCCGCTTGTCGTGCTTGCGGTGCTCTGTATCCCCTTTCATGCTGTAGTCCAGCTTCATGAGGATGGGCTCCAGGCCCGTGTACATCCTCTGGATCAGCTCATGGTACACAACCAGAGGCCACAGCAGCACGCTCAGCACTGAACAGGTGCACACGGACAAAACATGACTTTAGTCTTCAAATGAACATGTGCTGCAAATACAGAATATGTGCAGAGAAATAATCTGATTTTATTAGGAAAATCTAGTTAGGCTGATAAACGTTAACATGCACAAACTCATGTTATGTAAATACATGAAGAAAGAATGCAAACTACAAGAACATGCTATTACTCCCCTGACTGCTAGTTTAACCTCACATGACACGCCCTCTTTGTCAAGACAAAGCACACGACTCCACACAACGTCAGGGCTTTGCATTACAGTTTTTTCTCTGTTCATTTTATTTGCGCATCAAATGACTCACCTATGATATAGGAGATCATGATTCCAGGTACATAATGTCCCACCACGGCGAGCGCAAAAGAGCCGCTGCACATCATCACGCAGAACTGCGAGAAAGGGCGAGCAAGAAGAGAGTTCATGCAGCGAAACAAAACATGAGGAAGTGAGAAAAAAAAAGAAAAAAAAGTGTCGTCTGTGCAGGTGTGACTGTGTTTGAAAGAGGAGCTGCAGCAGCTGCAGAGATCAGACGCTTTCCTGTGCGCTGCGGATTTGTCTGCATTTTTTTTTTTTTTTTTTTTTGTTCTTGGATTTACTGTGAGTCATAAAAAGGCGTCTGGCTATTCTTTGCTTTTCCGTGGGCAGCGTCGGCGTCAGGGACTCGTACCTTGCCGTGGTTCTGCCTCTTGTACTGCAGCGTCTCCTGCAGGTACAGGCAGCAGGTCAGGTAGCCCTCTGCCAGGTGGTGACTGAGTTCAGGTATACTGAGCAGACGCTGCTCCTCGCCCATTGTGTCACTGCACGAGAACGAGAGCAAAAACAAACACACCAAGAGCGACAAACATCAGCACGTCGATCGCTACTTCAAGCTCTTCAGGCAGACGATTTGAAAAAAAAAGAAGCTTTTAATGAATGACTGTGTTAAGAAAGAGGCACAGGTGGATAACCGGAGATTAGTTCTGATGATACGCTGTAACATGGGAGGGATATTTCAGAAACACAAAGGCAGACTATTACACCCTGTTGGAATATAACAGATAGTCTTCTTTTCTCTTACAACAGGGTATTAAGACACAAACTACAGCACAAGTCATCTGTTTGTCGTGTACACACTACACACCTTTGCACGGGGTGAGCCTCTGCGTGTTGAACTGCAAAAAGGAGAGGAAACACATCGTTAGCAGCACGTCAGAATCACACGATGTGATTTAGCAAACACGTTTAAATGACAGTTTTAAAGACTACCACTGACTTGATGATGATGGACCTTAAAGCATAGCAAATGAAGGTTGACGTATGCTCCGTACACACAGATTTTCTAAATGACTAGAGGTGTAAAAATGTTCCAACTGCTCTGCTAGATCGTGGCAGTCGGCAGCTGCAGGACACGCGGCAACAGCTGCAATGTAATCGTAAAGTATGTCGGCCAAACGAGCTTTTCGCCTCTTACAGGCTCAGGTTGCTTTTTTTCCAACACGTCTGTCTCTCTTTCTGTAAAGGTTTCAGACGTTTTGCTGGAGAGTCCCCAGACTCACTTGGCTAAAGCGGTCATTTTTTAGTTTTTTAGTCCTCCGCTGACACATTTGTTGGTCTTACTGTGTGCATCGAGTCTTTTCCAAGGTTCGCTTGGACCCTGCATGACCCAAAAACACAAACTAACTCACCAGTCGAGGAAGAGGTACGCCAACAACTTCTGGTTTCTGAGGGAAACAATGACTCTTTTTGTTGAAGGATTCTGTCGGCTTTGGAGAAACGTATTTAACGGCTATAAAAATTCACAAAAAGTTGCATTTCTGCAAAGAGTTTTTTTTTGGAATGATGTCAAGACTCTCTGAATATTAATGGAAAAAACCAAGCAATTTTAGCAGACGTAGAGAATTTGCACAGAAAGATTATTATTATTATTGCTGCGCCTGTTAAAGCCCTGTAAGCACTGCGATTTTAGGAATTCAAAAATTCTTTATACCGAGTGGAAAATTGGACCACACAGTGCAAAAATAAAAACCCAGGTCAAAAAAAAAAGGGCCAACATGTCCCCTTAAGTAGACCGGCAAACACTGTTAACACTGAAATAGTTAGAGCGGGCTTCTCTGTCCAGCAAAGGTGCTCCACAAATAAAGATTTTAATTCCCTGGCAACGGTGAACATTTCCTTGTGCAATGAGTGACAAAGTCCGAGGACCAGATTCAAATTACACAAAAGGGCTTACTAGTAATGATGGGCAACTTGGGCTTCCATCTCTCCAGCAGCATGAGTCCCAACAGGGACACACTGAGCAGGAAGAGAGGCCGCAGGGAGGTGGACGACAGGAGCCTGTAAGGACCAAAACAGGAGACCAATCAGCTTCAATACAATAACAAAGCATTTATTTACTAGGATCCCAATGGGCTACAACCAAGTCGATTTAACGATTAACCCTCATTCAAAACTTTCCCCCATTGTTGTAGCAGCTCTCTGGTGTCTCCGCTGATCTTGTGGGGGTGTTGTTAATCATTTATATGCATCATGGTGTGCGCTGGGTGACTCTGATATTCAACCACATTACTTACATTTACAAAGAAAATTAGGAAAAGGGATATTTTGATTTCGTGTCAGAGATTTAAACAGAATATTCATATTTTTGTTTTATAATACAAGAAAATCGTAAAAAAAAAAATCGTCATGAAACCGAAAATCGCGATAGGTATCATACCATGAGTTCAATATATTGTTTCATAAATAAAGATTAGATTGAAAAAACTGCCATACCTATTATGGGACGATGAATTAAAGAGATAATCTACATGCTGGCTGCTGCTGACAGCAGGATAAAGAGGCCTGTGGCACCAACAAGCATGACAGGAGTGTTTGTTTGGATTCATTTGAGCAAAAACTAACAAGTGTCAAAACGCAAAAACCCTCGAGTTGGTTATTTTATGAGGGTAAAAAGGTTTGCCCGACGGTTTTTATGTGTGACGCAACATCCTTCGTGCAGAAACTGAAGTTTAAAGTGCTTGTAAGCGTCGTTAGCACTCGGCTAAAGACGTGGGATTATCTGATTTATCTTGACGTCCACGCGTAATATCCTTGCGCGCGTCAGTCAGCGAGCCAATATTGATTAATTCAAGTCATCAAGGTGTGGAAAAGAAAAAAAAAAAGGTGATTTAACACGATTTACCAGAATAATGTGTTGAGTGTCAGGGCGACACAGATGCTGTACAACGGCCTCTCCCACACCAGCAGCCTCTGCACCCACAGCAGCGGCGGCTCGTACTGCGATAGCCAGCCCTGGAGACGCTCCTTCAGGCGGACGAGCTCCGGGTTCACGTCCCCGCCGGCCTGCTCCGAAGACCCCGCGGGGAACAGAGACTCCAGCCCGACCGAAGAGGAGGTAACCGAGGGGTGTCTTCTGGCCTCCTCTCCGCTCGCCATGTTTCCCCTACTTTGTTATGTTGTTTTGGATGTCACGGGGTTTATGGAAAGAGAAGCGTCAAGCTGGAAGACGCTTAAGAATAAGAGCATCCGGTTGGTCCTTTCAAAATAAAATATGAAACCTGGCTGTTTTCATGGATTCAGCAAAAAAAAAAAGAAGAAAAATTCGAATAAACAACATTAATTTGAACAATTACGTTTCTTGATACGTCTAAAAACATGCAAAACATCTCAATAGTATTTTTTGTCTTAAAATAAAATTTAAATCCTCTTTGCACACAGAATATCTTGGCCTATCTTGTGTAAAATGATCTAGGCCTCACACAAATAGACAAATAATCAAATAAATGCAAATAATTAGATAAACAGGTAGCCTACATTTAAACACTTTTTGAGGTCTCTCAAAAAGGCATCAGGATGTTGATCAAGTCACAAATTGTAAAGAAAAATAAAGAAGAGTTGTTGTTGCTTTTTAAGTATACAGTATATAATCATAGATTGTAAATATTAAGATCTTAATCAGTATCAAAAATGATATTTTAACCCCAGAGGGAGACATTTGCATACAGTTGTGTAAATATACAGGAGGTGGAAACAAAGCTGCACTATTTACCTGTCCACTGTACCAGGAAGTCAGAGACACTTACTTCCCTCTCATTAAACAAACAAAAGGATTCAAATTAATGAACAACAACCAAAAGAGTGTGTGCCAGCTGAGAAACATCAATGTGCAAACACTGCAGCGCCGCTAATGATATACAAAGTCAGTTTTTTAACAGATAACTAAATATTTATTAATGAAAATGTAGTACTCTTGGATGTTAGAGGTATTATACACCGGGATTTATGTCCCTTATTTCCGGTAACTTGATGAAGCGGAGCCACAGATGGGCGGACGGATCTCAAGGCCCGTCACGGATGAGAAAAAAAAACGTGACGTGTTTCCTTGTTTACTGTTGCGAATAATTATCGTGTAGTAAAAATACACATTAAATGTTTTATTACGAGCATTATACTTACTACTACTACACCCAGATTACATTTTATTTATGTAAGGCCTTTGAGTGTTTTCATCCTTGTTTTATTTTTATGTTTTTACTTGTATTATGTAAGCAAGATTAAGATATATTTTACTGTTTCTCGACAGGAAACGACATTACAAAAATACTACACACAAGTTCGTTTCGATACAAATGTTTAATACAGAAAAAAAAAAAAACAGTAATGAGTAAACATTAAAATATTGATCAATTTGATCAAATCGAGCCATTACGGCAGCGGTTCCCCATTCCTCGTGGTCGCACTTTGAATTCACAAAACTGTGGCGACCCCAGACATCTAAAACAGACACACAGCTTTTTGCTCAATGAATCATGGGATTGTTTTTTTGTACTGTGTTTCAAGTGAATTTTTTAGGCTGTTTGGTGTTTAGTATTGTGGACAGAGGAAGAGAGGCTGGGGTGACATTTCTGCACAGTGGATGACAGACAGACTCCTCAAGTTTCCTGTATTGGCATTTGACCCACAGTAGCCTGTGTTCAATATATTTTTTATATTGATCAATAAATATAAATGTCAGGCGACCCCATTTGAATTCCAACCCCACAGTTGTGAAAGCCTGCATTATAGACAGCATCAAGGACAGCTGACTTCCTTTATTGTGACCAGACGACAATGTCAACAGCAGCACAGTCAGGGAATTATTCCTCCTCCTGTGGTCTCTCATTTTAGTCACAAGCTGATTTCTGAAAGATAAAAACGAGCATCGTTCAACTCAGCAGCTTTATGAAAAATACAGAATATCATTAAAAGGTTCATAATGTGGTTTACATCATTTGTCTTGTGAGGTGATTGTTTTGGTTCACACATTTTTAACTTATACAAGTAAAAGCATGCTGGCAAGTTTTGCACACCAGGGGTATTTATAATTATGAAAAAGTTTGGGAGGAACATTTGAAATATAAAAAAGTCATTATCACAGTGTGCTGTTGGCCGAGTGGTCAGGGGGCGTGTCTCGTGCGTAGGCTGTAGTCCTGGAAGCAGCGACCCGGGTTTTGGATCTGGCCTGTGGCTCCTTTCCTTCACGTTATTCCACTCACTCTCTCTGTCTCTGATTTCGAGACTCTACCCACTGCACAGGTACCCTGTCGGTGGTCTACATTTTATCAAGCTGACTGTGAAAATATAATCAAGAGTCCATCTTTTTTATGTGAACTTTCTTTTTTTTTTTTAAGTTCCCTTCAATTTATTCTGGTGTGAATAGCATCATTCAAGCAGGTGTGAGTGTAAGAGCGCCGCTACATTCACGTCTGCGCAGGATTGCTTGTTTGCATGAAACAGCGTTACAAATGTGAAAGGAGGAAAAGGTTTTCTAGGGTGAGGTTAGGGCGTGCCAGTGACCAGACAACACGGGGAGGAGGGGGTCATTGTGCGTGGGATAGGGGGTTAGGTGGAGTTCAAAAAAAGAGCCTCCAGAGCCTACCTGGCAGTTCAAATTGCTCATGGTTCGAGCCTACACAGAAGGTAAAGGAGGGAATAAGACGCTCAGCCACCCCCCCCCTCTCCAGGTGCTAGGACAAAAGGGCTTCAATACCTGCGGGGGTTAGGACCATGGCCTGCAGCAGGTCAGAGAGAGAGATGATGCCCTTCACCACGTCAGCCCTGTCCACCAGGACCAGCCGATGGACCTGTGAGAGGGGAGGAAGTAAAGAATAAATCAATCCTTCTTGACGAGACATTTCTGAACTCTGTGGAAGAAGAAAACACACAGACCTCAGCTTTGACGAGACGATCGAGGATGGTGTCCAGAGTTTCATCAGGGTAACACTTCAATACTCCCTCAAAGAAGCAGGTGCGCCTGCGGACCGCCTCCTGCATCGTCATGTCCAGATTGTTGTAAGTCTTCTGGGCAGCGAGGTTCTGACGTGGAGCAAAAAAAAAAAGACAAATCCCATTCAAGGACACTAAAGTTCAGGTTTTTTTATTTATTTTCAAGTACAAACTTCACCACCAAACTTGAGTGGAAGTGTGTTTTTCTGTAGCACTTACAATGACGTCGAATCTTGAGTAGAGTGACACCACTTTCCCTGAGAAAACAAAGTGTTGGATGATGGTTGATCATCAGTAAAAGAACTCTGTGTTTGCTTTCTACTCAAGACCCAAACATAATGCCAACTAATCCATCAAAGTCCCTCTGCGCCTACTTTTATGATGCTCACAGCTTTCAAATCGGAGCTGCAAAGGGTACAATTTGAAATCTTTACCTTCAAAATGGGACACCATTACTTGCGTTAGATGGAAAAGACTGATGGAGTTCCTGTGCATCAACATTAGACCAACATATTCCAAGAGATGTTGCACGATTATTCACCTAGATATTGGTCTTTTTTTTTGCCTGTTTATTTTAGACTTCATTTTTGATTTTCAGGACTTGTTTTTAGGCCATGTTTTATCCCACTCTTATTTATCAGAACTCTTGACCTCCTACACCCCCAGGAGGATCACTCAGAGCAGTCTCTCCCGGGCGTCCCTCAAGCTCAGCGTAAAACTCAGGGGCCGGCTTGTTTTTTAGTCTGTGGATTCAACTGCATCCCCTCATCGAATTCATTCAGAGCGCAGTTCCAAAGAAATGAGAGAAGAATCGTTACCTTGTTCATCCACCACAGGCAGCGCTGACACTCGCCTTTCCACAAATATAGAGAGAGCGTCGTGAAGTGTTGCCGTTTGCTGAACTGTGGCGATGTTCCTGAACGTTCCGATCCCGAGCTCCTGGATCTGCTTTCCGACGAACGCGGGTTTGGGAACTTTTTTCCCCTGAGAACACCCAAACATATTCTTTTATAGTAAACAACAACAGCTTGATTAACTTCAGAAGAAAAAAACACAAAGCTTAAGAGTTTCTTACAAATATGTGGAGGAACTTGAGGATTCTTTTGTGTGTCAGGATGTGCAGCACATTCCCCGACTCTGGATCGATGACTGGCAGCCTGTGGATCTTGTATTTTAATAAGGAATAGATGGCATCAAAGAGGCTGAAGTGACAGAGGAAAGGAGGGATTCATTACCAGGCAGAATAGACGAGATGAAAGACAGTATCAAAGATTCTATCTGACACGTCTGTGTGCTCACCTCGCCTCTGGAGAGATGCTTATAAGGAAGTGGTTTGAAGACTGTAGGTAGACGTCTAAACAGAAGAGAGAGAGAGATAGAGCGAGGGAGGGAGTGGAAATTCACAGAGACGTGTATTCAGAGATAACACTGATTTTCTGTGTTATTTACTTTGAAATGAGTCACCTCGCCATGTTTCGATCTTGTGGTTCTCCAGCTCGTGCATCTGAACCTTTTGGAGAGAAACCCCGACGTCAAACGATGAGTCTGAGTCGAATCACATTATTTGCACTCTGCTTTGTGCCACCACAATAGAGGTGTTGCGTGCCTAATATCACATGCAGCGTGACGTCAAATCACAAAGAAATGAAGGCGAACTCATTTGCTTCAGTGTGCTGCGTGTTCATGCTCACCAGAGGAGATCTGTAATAGCAATGCAGGATGTTGATGAAATCCGTGATAGTCAGCATACCTGTGAGAGAAAAAGGACTGATGTTGACACTGGACCTCTTGCATACATCATATAAGTATTGCTAAGCTAATGCAATATGCATGGGGATTTAATGCATGCATTCCTGCAGGGTGCATCGTGACCTTCTGTAGATCACAGACAAGAAATGGTCACGAAAACAGCGTGCAAGTCAAAGCAGGAAAAGGAGTAAAAATGTATTCCTTAAAGCGTCCTTTAAAGCTGAGCATGCACAATGTCAGAGTGGTTGTTACTGCTTTATCAAAAAGGGACAGAAACATATTTGTGTCATGACTGTATCTGACCAAATACAAGACGCACAAACACACCTGATAAAAGTGGGGCTGTCTTATATCTACGGTGGCCTGTTGGTGCACAGGCTCGGCTGATGTTGGAACATTTTGTCATCAGACTTGCTGACTTGGTTGGATAACAACATTTTTAAAACAGCGTTGTTTTTTTTAAAATTCCATTTGAGTACTTGTTACTGCTTTCAGCTCGTCACCAGCTAATGCACACATGCAGACATCGGTTTATGGTGTTGAGGGGATGAAGAGAGAGTGAAGAGAACGTTCTTTGTGTTCTTGCAAAAATGGGAGGTGGAAAAAAAAAAAAAAAACCAAGGAAGGAGCATGATACTCGCTTGGACAATAGACTCATTTTGCCCGCGTGAAATTCATTCCTCAGATGCCTCCTCAGTGGACATTTTTTTTTTTTCTTTCTTCTATTTGTTAAGCCACACTTGTAAGGAGTATTCCTCAAAACATTTATCAAAGCACAGCAACAGAAATCCTTTAAAATACACATTCCATGCATAAATGTGTGCATTAAATCCTGCAGTCGCAAAGCCTTATATGAGCGCGTGTTACCAGATGTGATTAGAACTCACAGTAACCAGTACAGAACGATGAAATGTTCTCTTACCCACAAATCTCTGAAGCTTGCTGTCCCATAAAGGCGCAGCCCTCAAGCCGTTTGCCACCAGTGCAAAAAAGGCCTTTTTCACCTGTGGGGGTCATGATTTCACACTTTAACAAGCTGTCATGTACTTCACTTGTAGTACCTTAACGTTTAGGAGCTGCATCAGGTTCCAAAATCAGTCTTACTTGTAGTTTGGTATCAAATATGACCAGTTTGCAGCTGGTCGGAATGGCGTTGTAGCAGCAGTGACTTTTCATGAAATTCATGTAGACTGTGGCATCAACATCTGTAAAAAAAAAAAAAAAAATCAGTCATATATAAGCTCCAACATGAGCATCATAAGAGAAATTCAAACCCTGATTTCATGCACATTTGCACACTTGCCAACCACGGTGATCGCACCTTGTTTCTTCATGTCCTGCTTCTTTCCTGTGTATGACACCTACGACACAGCAAGCACAGACATTCCCCACTTGACATTGTCAAGTAGTTTGAGAAGTGCTACTGTCTGTTCCAAACATAAACTCACACTCACACTTTCATCCCGAAGCAACACTTCACCTGTGAGAGCGGCTCCATTCTTCTGTTGTGTGGCCATGAAAAAGTTGTTTTCTAGCCGTGGGGTGACTTTTCTGCTCGGTTTGTTACCCTTTTCTACGAAGCAGTCGGGTCTATATTAGGAACTCTCAAGTGGTATGTGTGAGCCAAAAGGAGGGGGGGGAGAGAGAGAGAGAGAGAGAGGCTGGCACAGGCTCAGGGGGAGGGACACTGCTGCAGCTTCTGTACAAAAGCAGACTCGTTTCTTCCCGTCTCTGGAAAACAGACACACACACACACACACACACATCTCCTTGCATTGTTTTACAGGAATGCATTTACCTCCCAGATCGTTCATCTGACCTTTTATGATCACACTTAATTTGCATTGTTCTATCTACCTTCTGATGCCGAATGAATCCCATCAAGATGTTCAAAGTAATCTGTTTTCTAGGATTTAACACATAAAACATACAGCCCATATAAGAGGCTCAATTTCACCTGCTCTGTCAGAAAAGAAAGCCGTCTGAACCCTGGTCTATATGTCAAGGACCTGTACAGTAAAGGTCACTGTGAGTCCCAACATACAAAGCATGTTGCCGTCAGCCATGTGACTCCTGGGATTCATTGTGATGGTTACAGGGTCGGAATAATACCAGAACCTTGAGCTTTTATGTGACGCGAGTAAAATAAAATCAGTTTTGATTCCACATAATCAGAAATAGAAGTCCAACATTTAGTCTTCACTTGATTTTCATCGCCATAATTTGCAAGTAGAGTCCGAAATATCAGACCCCACTGACAGAAAGAAACAATTTACCTTGCAGAACACGGGAGATACTCGTCTACCTCTTCCTCATTCAGGACGGTTATAAAGGTTAGAAACTTCTTCTTCTCTCAGGATGTGCCTGCTCTCACTAAAGGAGGATTTTGATGCGTAGTTGGACTCTCCTTCTGCACAAATGAAGGCATTATGGTATTGGCTACACCAGATTTAAACTCTGATATGACACTAGTAAAAATGCAATGATGTTCATTGATACCTGTTTCAAAACAGAAGGACAAGTCCTGGGCGCTCCATTTCTTGTTTTATAGTTAAGAAAAAATTGCAGTCACTCCTGCACACACTGTCTACATCGGAAACATTCTGGTACTGAAACATTGCAGATGTATTTGTGCAATACAGACAAGTCTCCACCTCTGTGGGTTAAAAACATGACTGAATCTTTGGTTCATTTCAACATGTGGATCATTTAAATCACAGACGTGTTGTTTTAAAGCGTGCTATCGTGAAGCATCAAATACAGCCTCGCGGTTATGCTGCACGCCCCATGTGCAGAGGCTGTAGGCCGTGGGTTTGAATCTGACCTTGGCCCTTGGCTGCACGTCGCCCCCCCACCACCTCCCCCTCCCAAATGTTCTCTCTCTCTCTCTCTCTCTCTCTCTTCAGCGGTCATATCCAATAAGACAAAATAGCCTAAAAAATATCAGAAAGAAATGCATTCTTTATTAGCTCTACAGATTTGTACAATATTCGCTTTTTACACCATGTACAAAAATTAAAGGACTTTCAAATCGTATCAAATCCAGATGCTCACAGCGGTTTGTCCAAAGGGTCGGTTATAAACGAGTGACTGTCCTGGAGACTGAGTGTAACTGTGGATATATAAAGAAGTGACATTCTTTTCCTGGTGTTTGAAAGTAACCGATACTTGCATTAATAACGGAGTGAAATGTCCTGTAGCAAACAAAAAAAAAACAACAATGCAGCCAAATGTGCAAATAAAAAGCAAACACACTGCTTGAGCCTTTAGCATGTCATATTCTAAACCCTCGCTTCAAAAACACCAACCAGGAACCCCGACTTCACCAAACACACCATGAGAAACTTTGGCCCAACTTCACCCGGTTACACAAAGTTGGACTCATGTGAAATCAGTTTCAAAACAAAATCAGGAAGAAATAAGACGATAGAAAGAAAAGTTAGAAAGATTTTGGCTATAAAATGCTCAGAGGTGAACGTTACACTGAGGTATGAAGATAACTTCTGCATTATCAGACAGGGTTGAGGTTAAATGCAAACAGTAAAAAAGGATCTGGTGCATAAACTCAGTGCTTGCTGTGTGTCTGACTTGTATCAAGAGTTCCTCGTGTGTGAGTTAGAAAAACACAACCAAATTTAAGTAAACACAGGTAACTGGTTAAGTTACTTCTTCCTTGCAAATCCCCATCATGAAAAAAAAAAAAACAACTTACAAAGAGACTTTCACCGTTCATTCAGATATTCTGTTAAACCTCCACACACTTTAATGTTTCATAACGAGCCACGCAGCTTCATCTTTTAAAAAAAACCACGCTCAGCAAAGAAGAGCCCTCCGTCCTCGCATACAGGTCCGAACTTTCAAAAAGAAAAGGATAAATGTTGGGAGCGTAACTTGAGCGGTGTACCACGAAGCAAGATTATAACGAGGCACTCTTTTTTTTTTTTTTAGCCGGCTGGACAAAACTGAAAGCTTCAGTCTGAGATTTCTGTTTTCATACAGACAGTCATAAACTTCCTTTTTAACCCACGGACTGTTCCTGTTCCCATGAAAGGAGGCTTATGATGCTTTACCTTTGATAGGATTCTAGTAAAAATCGAATGATATTGATGAGTTTCAATACCATAGCAACAACAATAGAAGTCCCAGCCACCCAACATTGGGTCATTTCTTCTTCTTCTTCTTCTTCATTAACAAAAAATGCAGGCAAACTCGCGCACATATTGTCTAAGTGTGGGTACCAAAACGAGGGCGATGTTCTCGAGCAGTTTACACAGTGCTCCGTCTCAAGTTTTGGCTCTTTGCGACACAACCATTAAAATATTAGAGATCGTTTCGCTTCAAAACACGAGGGTTGAATATTTAGACAACCTAATGCCTACTTCAGTCAGGCTGTTGTCATGAACAGCATTAACGATTACAAAACGATTGATTCTGCAAAAGAAGCCAAGAAGGAGAAGCTGGCAGCAATGTACTTTTAGAGTAAATTAGTACATTTATAACTCAAAGCAGCCTCAGTGTGTCTCTCTTAATCTTAATTAAATCTCCTTCAATCATTTCTGAGTGAAATCTAAAGAGTTACTTTGACCTGCAGCAAATATTAGAAGAGAAGGACGACTGGAGCAGAGCTCAGATTTCTAACATAACTGACTGAATGCAATAACCGGCTACATGACGCTTACTGTTATTGCATGCTGTTGCTACACCACTGTGTTTGGAGAAGTAACCGCGGTTACTTTGTGGTTAGTTTTTTTGTTCTCGGTTAAGAATGTATATCACTCATTTAATTTTTGTCAGGAGAAGAACTGAAGTGGGAAAGCGGCCTCTTAAAATAAAAAACTCTGAACATAACCTTTACTTACCAGGTAAGGCTGTTCCGAGAGCTACCTTCATGCTAACCCTTTATCTTGCTTTGAAGCACACCACTCAGTTTGTAGCCAAGAAAAAAAAAGTAAAAAACTATTTAAAAAAGTAAAAAAAAATTTCAGCTTCCACCTCAAGCTGTAGATCAACTGATCACTGTGGAATTTCGCTTATGGCAAATTTATTTTGGAGTTGTGAACTTGAAGTGATTTTCCACCCTGTGATGTCTCACACACACCTGATGTCTCTCCCTCTTCGCACCTGTAATCTCGCTCTGGAAAAAGTAACAGAAACATGACCGGATGAATCATAGAAGTGGAGCTCGTTTAAATTTCCAGACTCTGCGTTTACAGGTGGACAGCAGGAGAGAGTGCTGATCTCTAGCCGGGCATGAGAAGAGCCTGGGCTTTGTTGACCGGTAACACAGACTGAGGGTGGCAGGGTCCCAGCTGTACGGGAGGAAACACCCCAAGGCGAGAGTTCATGCTTGATTCTGCCCCTCCGATAAAGCTGGAGGCGATCCACGGAGTAGGATGCTGATTGTTATCGCGAGTGACGAGCGATGAAGTGTTTGTGAGTCCACACTGAAGAGGAGGGAGGGTTGCAAGACAGCCGGGGCAGAGATACGAGACAGGAGACCAGGTTTGGGCAGAGTCCATGTCAGAATCAGTTTCAGGATGTGTGTGACCCATAGATGCGAGGAGGGACCCCCAGAGACACAATATAGACGTCTGCGAGGGGGCAGAGGGGGGATTTGAGGTGGTGTGCTGCTGGTCGATTCCCCCGGTCATTCGGTTCAGACTCTTGTTGGCCAGAACACAACCAGGTTGGCGTTGGGCTGCAGAGGGAGCGTCTGAGTTCAGGTTTGGGGTGTCAAGGTGGGCAGGGCTGATCTCAACTGGAGGTGGAAGTAGAGAGTGGCCGCTTCTGGAGAGACTGAGCTGGTGCAGCACAGCGCTGGTGGCGATCAGACCGGCTACACTGGTCAGATAGACGAGGCCGAGCATACAGGAGACCTGGGAATAAATCACAAGTTTTATCTGATTATAAAACCATAAATGTTACCAATTTCTCTACCTCATTCCTCCTTTTTTGATGTCTTAATTGTATACTCACTTACACTACATTCCCCATTATGTTTAAGGAAATATATATGTTGCTGCATTGTAATCAAGCTAATGCCACTGCATGCTTGTTTAGTCAGAGTTATAGGGAAGAGGGCCGAGCTGTTCTGCAGGATACGCCTCAGTTTCATTCCATACTCGTTGCCTTTTTTGGACAACAAGAAGCTCACTCTGGCTTTCCTTTTTATTCCCCATGGTTGTAAACTATTTTGTTGCCCTGACTGCCAGCACAATGAAAACATTCAGCTTGTAGGATCAGTGTATATTTTAGTATTCTGAGTTTTTAATATTAGATAATAGAAAAGGGAAAGCAGTTATTAAACATATCCATGCTCTCTTGCCGTTTCTCGATGCTTAAGAACTTCAAAAGACCAAAAAAGTACACTATTGTAACCCTGATAAGTTCAACTGGCGCATCTTACACATTGGAAGATGCAAATATTCTCTCAGCTCACCTTGATAAAGTGCTGATAAATGGCAGTAAGTGCTTGACTCCATGCTGATTGCTCCAGTAGCACACAGAGGTCGGTGTAGGTGAACCAACCACGTTTCATCCCCTGCCGCTCTGCGATGCTGCAGATAGAAAAGACCCGAGTCAGATATCGGCCTTTTATAAACTCTTGCTTCTTCTTCTTCAACATGAATCAGAGTGGATTTACATTTCTACGTCTCTGCATTTTTGGTGATATAATTCATTTGGACACGATTGTGTATGTTAGATGCACATGGCTGAACCACTGACCTGGTTTCCAACTGACTAAGAATATCCAAAAAGTCATTTGGCTCCGTGAAGAGGCTCCACTCCTGTAAAAGAAGAGAAACTTAAGTCAGGACAAAGATGCATAAACAAACATGCCTGTAGGTTTTCAGCATGTAAATACAGAAACACTCACAATGGCATTCAAGAAGTTCATCTCCAGGGTGTTGATAGTTTTGACGTCCAGCTTTCCGGCTGCCCCCCACTCGTCGTTGAAAACTTCTTCTTCTTCACCTTCGTCGTACAGGTATTTGCTGGCAACCATCTGATTTCATAGTCAGGACACAATGAAGTTGTCAACGTATTGTCAGTACTTGCGGGTAAATGATTGCAAAAAACAGCAGCTCTGGAACAAAAGTATGAAACTACTATAAAGTATGATGCAAGAAATATCACTGTGACACATTTAGAAAGCCCCTTGAACCCAGCAGCACATACCATGGAGATCAGGAAGAGGTCAGAGGAGGAGATCTTTTGAAGGTATTCTGGGTTTCTATGTCGGAGCCTTTCTATGTAAACTAGAGCCAGCATCATGGCACAAGGAGAGATGCAGGCCTCCCTGAAGCAACAAAGAAAGACATAATTCTGCTTTAAGACGCGTTAATGACTGGCAGTGACACCTTTAGTTACTTAAAAAAACACAATGTATGCATGAATGTTAAATAAGCAGCACAAACCTGGAAACATGGGCAGCATACTTCTTCTGAAGCTTTCGTATCGGGCTTGGGGCAGACTTCTGGAAGATTTCGACGGCAATATCTGGAATAACAAGACAAGAAGGACCCAACGTGAACTTAGGACTCATTTTTTTCACGGTACACATTTACAACCCACTTCAAACGGCTCGGTGACCTACTTTTGGGTCCCAACCCACCAGTTGAGAACCACTGTTACAGAGGTGTTCACACAGCACTTGAACTTGAACATTTTACTTTTGCAATGAAGAATCTGAAAAGCTAGAGTCCTCTGATGTAGCTGCGACTCTATCCATTGTCCTATAAGATAAGATAATCCTTTATTTATCCCACAATGGGGAAATTTACATTGTTACAGCAGCAAAGAGCAAAGACTGCAAACAAAAAGTGGACACAGTACAATTTAAATAAAAAAAAGAAAATAAAAAATAAAAATTAAGAATGTACAAAAAAATAGATACTAAAAAATAGATTAAAAAAATAGATACTAAAAAATAGATACTAAAAAATAGATTAAAAAAATAGATTAAAAAAATAGATTAAAAAAAATACATACAAAAAAAAAAAAGATCAGCTATTTGACAAAAGTGTAGTCCGTAATATTCAGAGTAACACAGACATGAAGTGTAACATGTTATTGCACAAAGTGGTTTGATAAACATAATTTAACATTAATATAACATTATTATTGCACAATGTCAGAGTGAATTGTCCAGTCGTGTGTGTGTGTTTTGTGATCTACTGGGAGCAGGTTTGGTTAAACAGCCTCGAATTGAAGGCATAAAAAGCCCAAAAATAAACCTTAAAATAATAATTTAAATCATGGTAATCAAACAGGTGTAGTAAGTGGACTCATCTTGTTTGTTTGTTAAAGAATACAGTAGAAAGAGTACCTGCCGACCCAAACAAGTTAAACAGAAGTAAAAGAAAGAGAATGAAAATGTGAAACCAGGAAGTCACACAACCAGTTATTCCCATGAGTCAGTGAAGAGATTATTTGTTAAACCAAGTTAGACCATAGACAGCTTCTCACTCACCTGTCACAGGGCATGAGAGGGCATCTAAAGAAACGTCTGTGTCCAGGCCATAATACAGCCGCTTCCTCACCCTCTCAGTCAACTTCTGGTGTCCAGGTAGAAACTGAAAAACAAAAAACACGAGCTCACAGTGAGATAAATCAAAACATTACTGAGCAGGAAGCGCTGAATATCAACACAGCAATGAACTCTGAGCTACTTTCGACGAGTTTCCCATCAACATCACTTTCATACCCTCGTCATTAATCATACTCCACGCGGTATAACAGGCCCTTAGCAACACCAGGCCCTTAGCAACAAATTAACTACTGGCGTTAGTAATTAAGAGTATTATTAAAGTGCTGTAACGTTAAGCTATAAACATATACCAAGGCAACTTAGCGAGATAGCTAGGTGGCTACAGGAACACCCGGGGTCAGCACGTTTAGAAAAGGTACACAACGTCCAGTTAGCGTGTGATGCTAGCTACAGCGGCTAGCTTCAGCTTCAGCACTTTATTGTCTTATCGTGACATCGTACCGTGAACTCCTGGAAGTCCGAAAACTGAAACGTCCTCTCGTTAAATAACGCGTCGAAATCCATGTTTACTATAGATGTAACATGGGTCGGCTGAATGTCGAGAAAGACGACTGTTTGGCCTGGCTCCCGCCCGTCTGTGTGTCTAGTTAAGCTCGGCTTGCTGGACCGGAGCCTCCAGCTGTTAGCTCCCCTTCTGACAGGCAGAGAGGGGGAGGAGCCTGGAGGAGGAGGGGGAGGAGCCTGGAGGAGAGGGGGAGGAGCTGTTACACAACTAGTTGTAAACTGCCTTTGGCCTCATGACACATTTATTTATAACTTACTCATGACAGTGTTTCATATGGAAGAGTATTAGGGCCACACATACAAAAAATAAAAATAGAGTTCTGACTTTATTCTCAGAACTACGGGTACTATAGTCACTGTGCAGGACTGAATGTTATTCATTTTGCATTTCATAATTGTCCACACACTTCCTTCAATATTAATGCCAGCGGACTAATATCTTTCTTACATTTGTGTCCAATATGAATGATATTAAAATGCTTTGTAACATTGTCAAAATACTGTTTTTTTAAACCTTATTTATCCTATCAATTTTTACCTATATGGAATAAGGGGCTTCATCAACATTCAACTAAAGAACTGCATGTAAATGTGGTGAAATGAGTAAGTTGGCTACTCGTTTAAGCAATTCCGTAGTAGTTTACACAAAAGTTTCACCTGGGTGGTACACCGTCTTGCAACTCAAAAAACAAAAATACAGTATCATAGCACACAGCAGTGACAAAGCATGCCACGGTTTTTGCTGTTGTTTCCCACTCCAGTATACTCCAGTCAGTCCTGCACGGTGACTAGCCACCGGAGTTGGTCCTTACAGGTACCCGCAGTTCTGACTTTAAAGTCAGAATTCTGAGAATAAAGTCAGAGCTCTATTTTTTTTTTTTTTATGTGTGGCCCTAATCCTCTTCCGTATGTTTCCACCTTTTATTGCACGCTTTAATTTTGTAAATATTTAATGGCATGGGGGAAGAAACTTTGCAATGACATTTGAGAAACACAAATTAATATAATAGGCATGAGGTATTGCACAGGTATATGGAATATGAAGGTCTGAAAATGGGAACAAATCACTCAAAAAAATGTTAACCATGACGTTTAGATGGAAAATAACTACAACAAGTATGCAGAACAGACAATAATGGTAGTAAAATAAGGATTAGTAGCTGGTCAAGTATCATAACAAACCACATCTTTATATCCAGATGTTCAGTGCTGCACAGAGATTTTTTTGGGGCATTGTATGCCTTTATTAGAGAGATAGGACAGTGGATAGAGCTGGAAATCAGGGAGAGAGAGAGTAGGGAATGACATGCGGGAGAGGAGCCACAGGTCGGACCCGAACCCGGGCCGCCTGCCTAGAGGACTACAGCCTCCATACACGGGACACATTTGACATTAACCACTTCTCTCATCTGGTCTAGCAAAGGTTTATGTAATTGTATTTCATAACTTAGCTGACATCTGTCACTGTGGCATTTAAACTTTCAGTGCAATCTAAATGCCAAACTGAGCAGTCAAATAGTTTGCGATAGATAAGTAGAAGGAAACTCCTGCGCTACAGCTGCTTACCAAGCGGAAGTCAGTGCTCTGAGAGAAAGGACCTTATACATGTTCAAATTAAAATTCAATGATCCCCCTATCTCAGGCAGAAGCCAAAGAAACTACTGGAGCACACGAATCAGGAGCACCAAAATAAATATTCGTCATTAATCTTATATCACTGCTCCCATGACGCGATTTTTTAAGAACTAACCCAGAGCAACTCTACTTTTTTAATTTAATGGATTGAAAAACAAAGTAATGCAAAAATAAAAAACAAAACTTTTTATTTCTCATGAGAACAAGTTTACACAAAAATATGTACAAATGTAATAATCATGAGAGGTAGATATACAAAGTCTGTGATTGGCTAAACAGATTCTTATGGAGAATTTACGTATATGGCTTTAAAGACTCTTGTATACCAGTTTTACATTATGAGTGCAATCATTACTGTATAGACTTTAGAATGTCTCTCCATGTCGACTTAAAAAACACAGCGTATACGCAGATTCAACCAATTATCAACTTGTTTCTATAAAACCAATGTTCTGAGTACCACTGCCTCCATGAGAAAGCTTGATACTCTTGATGTCATTGATAAGTCATTGATTGTAAAAGTTATGTTATCCTCCAAAACAGTGTTTGAAAAGTCATGATTGCCCAAGTTTACATTAAAGGTCACATATTCTCCTCCTTTTCAACAAGTTTAAATAAGGTCTCAGAGCTCCTCAAAACATGTGTGAGGAGTTTCTTGTTCTAAATCCACTCTGATCCTGTATTTGATCATGCCTATAAACCACCTCTATTTCAGCCCTGCTCCGAAAAGGCTGTTTCTGTGTCTGTAGCTTTAAATATGTAAATAAGCTGTGTCTGATCACGCCCCCTCTCTGGAAGGGCTCGGGTGGCGGACTAGGGACACATGTTAGTGTTAGAGAAACATGGTGAAATGTAATCATGATATGTGACCTTCAACTTTTGTGTATTTGTTCATCCTTGCCAACAGTTTAGAAAACCCACTAATCAAACCAGCAACACACTCCACTCACACTTACAAAGACAGCAGGAATCTTTGACTAGAGAGAACCTTACAATAATAAAATATAACTGAATACAGCTTGTATACCAACTAAATGTAAATCTGATTAGAGTTTTGTTTTCTATATCCTTTGTTCTCCCTTATGTATCTCTAAATAACTTAAATCAAGTCAGATATATAAAAGAAAATACTTAATTTGTCTTTCGTAGACAATCAGATGGCAAAAATGAACAGAGGCCGATTTGTCATTTTAAATCAGGCCTTGAAAAGCTGCGAGTGTCACCCACAAGAAGGCATCTTTACACCGTCACTTTCCATTGCACATTCAGTTTTAAAATCCTCAAAATAAATAACATTTCAATCATACTAAGAGTTCTAAAAGTAATGAAACCCTTACAATTAAAAGTGGACTCAATCTGTGGAGGTAATAAATACATTCAGTGGCCGTGGTGGCCTGAAGACGTCGATGGCGGCTGCAGTTTCTCCGACTGTCGGTCTTTGGTTTCCGTGTCTGACGAGGAGTCGGAGTCCTGGGCCTGCTGCTGCTTCATCCACATGTCTGCGTACAGACCTCCCTTCAGCAGCAGCTCCTCGTGTCTACGATTGGGAAAAAAGTGACTCACTTGGAGCTAAATGGTAAAAAACTTAGGCTAAATGGTAAAAAAAAGGCCAACTTACCGTCCTCGCTCGGCGATGCGGCCATCACTGATAACAAGAATCTGATCTGCTCCAATGATCGTAGACAACCTTTAATTTATAGACACACGGTCATGAATTCAGTGACATCCTGAAAGAAGATAAACATGAACCCATAAAATATAACGCACGTGCTTCACTTACCTGTGAGCTACAACAACTGTTGTACGGTTCACGCAGACTTTTGACAATGAGGCTTGAATGTTGCGTTCCGTTTGCGTGTCCAGTGCAGACGTGGCCTGCAGAAACACATCATTGGTACAAAGTAAGAACAACAGCAACAATCTTCACTTTTTTTTCCCCCCCAAGTGGTATGACAGTGACGAACTCCTGCAAAAAAGGTCTGAAAAGCTCATTCAGTTCTCTACAAAACTTGCAGCTACTGATACATACACAGCAACACGTAGATCAGAAAACAAAGGGGCGCTTTCTCTCTAGATCAGGAGGTCTCCAACCACCGGGCATTAGACCCCCAGGCAGTGAGGATATTGGAGACACTTTCCACTCATTCAGCGTTGACAAGGCACATAACGCCACACTATGATCACCTGGGCTCCGGAAAAAAGGATTAGATTTTTTGTTTTCAACAGAAGTTTGGGCTGATTTATCCTCTTACAGTACTTCATATATCTTAAAATGACATAAGTAGAGGATTACCTCACAGATATATGACAGCTGCTGTCTGGTCAGTGTAGTCCAAAAGGTCAGGGACCCCTGCTCTAGATCACAGTTTGTCCTCAGTCTGCCTTTCAACTTAAATATAGTTTCTGCTTTTAGTAATCTCACCTCATCCAGCAGAATGATCTGAGGTGCTTTGAGAATCGTTCTGGCGATGGCCACTCGTTGCTTCTCTCCTCCACTCAGCTTCAAACCTCTTTCTCCAACCTGTGTGTCATAACCTGCCGGAGAACAATGCGCAGAGATCACTGAGAGGTCAAGAGATCCAACATTTCCTCAGTCCCACTCAGGACTCAAAAACATTTAAACAGCCACACTTTAGTTGATGCAACCCTTCAAAGAAAAACAACAGCAGGATTCATCGATGTGCTTACCTTCAGGGAAGGTCATGATTTTATCGTGGATATCAGCAGCTAAAGCAGCCTCCTCTACTTCCTGGTCGCTGGCGGCGATGCGTCCGTAGCGGATGTTGTCCCGGATGGTGTCGTTGAAAAGCACGGTATCCTGAGGAACCACGCCTATGTGAGCTCGCAGAGACTTCTGTTTTACCTGAGGAGAGACAATGAAATCTGGTTCTTAGAGACAACCTGCAGCCTGGGCTTCCATCGCTCTAGGGGATATTAAGAGTGACAAAACCTGTTGTTTAGCTGACCATGCACAATTAAAGGTTGTATGAATTGCAAATATGTGTTTTAGTATTTTCCAGCAGGGTCTCATTTTGGGGCTTTGCTGTGCTTTAATTAATTCTTTGTTCATCGTTCTTGTATTTGTAAGGTGATCTCCTGAGATTATACTTTTGAAATATCCTGGCCGTCGATGCTGATGCAGCCTCCCTGGACGTCATAGAAACGGAAGAGGAGGCGCACGATGGTGCTCTTCCCGGAGCCTGATGGACCCACCTGGAGAGAGAAGTCGGGAAGTTTCACTATATGAGGGTGCGGACGGCAAAAAAACTGAACTCATTTAAATGTAGTGACTCTGACTTACAAGAGCAACAGTCTGTCCCGGGAGGACGGTGAAGGAAACATCCTTGAGAATCTCTTTGCTGTAAAACAGAAGTGAAATCTAAGTTAAACAAATCTATCAGTGTTTTTATCAATAAATACAAAAGGAGGTTTTTGAGCTACACATCTCGTAACCCTACTCAACAGATGTCCCAGACTGACATCATTAATGGGGAAAGTGAGTATAATAGAAGTTATAAAAGTTCAAGTGAAACCTACCCATTTGTGTAGCTGAAGTAAACGTTCTCAAACTCCACCTTTCCCAATTTGTAGAGAAAGCTTCCTGCGTTTACGACGTCCTTCACCTGCACAAGAGGGGAAAAAAGGGCAATATTAAGAAGAACATCCTCATACAGCTGGGGTTTAAAGTAAACACTTTCACATGCTTTCACACATGCAGAAATCTCCTGAAAAACCCCTGATATTTCCAGGAGGAGGTGCATGTGTGAAAACAGCTACAGGTACCTCTTCATCTTCTTCAAAGAGCTTGAACATGCTTTCCATGTCGATGAAAGAATTCTGTATCATTCTGCGGTAGAGAAAAGTAGAGATAACTGTTTGCAAGAGAAACAGCAGGACTGCAGAGCACTTTCTTTTAATGCTGGTTTAAATATGAATATTAAAAAGGATTCATTCAGTCATATGTCATATGAATTCTCAGTTTATTGATTTGAAATAACAACAAAGCTTGAGGGCAGAAGGATGGAAACTATTCTGTAGAGGATATTCTAACACTCTTTCATGGTGTCCTGCATCTTCTTACCTGTAGTAGGTTCCAAACCAGTTCAGCGGGGTGTACAGCTGGATGATGTAGGTCCCAAAGAGAACAAAATCTCCAACCTAAGACGGGAGAGTCGCTTTTACAGCCCCGACTTAATGTCGCAATTCAAACTGTTGTTGATAATTGTCCAGGTGGAGACTGGAGAATAGCATAGAAAGGAAATTAAAGGTACCTGAAACTTTCCCTCGGTCACAAAGTACGCACAGAGCAGAGAGCCGGCCAGCAGTCCCGATCCGATGATGAGGTTCTGTGTTTGGTTCAGGAAGGCCAGGGACGCCTGAGTCTTCCACTCGGACACCTAAACACAGGAAAGAGAAATATGACATGCATGCCCTTTAGAGCTAATAGTTACATATTGAGAGAAATGTTGAAAAGCAGATCTGATGCTCCTTATGCATGTTTAATATTTTATCAACAATCTACTGCTCATGTCTTCTTCATCTTCTACTAAATGTAGACCATAAATTCTGCATTCCAGCTCCTCCAGAGACACAAAAAGAGTGTACGAAGGCTATATATCAGCATCATTGTTGGAGTTATTGTATATTTAGGAACACGTCTGACTTACCTGATATTTAAGGATGGCGTCCTCGAATCGGCTCACCTCGTAATTCTCTGCGTTGTAATATTTCACCTGTTTAATACAAACAGAGGAAAAGATTAAAGGAACCTCTTCATGGACCAAAACGATGATGAACCACTGAATGTGTCCTCACCGTCTCAAAGTTTAACAACGAGTCCACAGCTTTGGATTTGGCGTTGTTGTCCTGCTGGTTCATGTCCCGCCTGTACTTGGTTCTCCACTCGGTGATGATGATGGTCAGAGCTGCAGGAATCGGAAATCCTTCAAGTTAAACCTGACCACTTTATCAGAGGGTATGACTGATTATTATATGGATATGCAATGCACAACTTACTGAGGTACAGGGTCATGCAGACGAAGACGATCAGGCCGAACCAGGCGTTGAAGTAAGTGATGAAGTAGATGATGGAGATGACGATATCGGCGATGGTTGGGAAGATGCTGAACACGATGTAGCTGAGAGGGGAAAAAAAGAGATATTTGAGAATAATTTAAAATGCTTTGGAAGACAAACCTTTCAGGAAACGTAGATGTTCAGAAAGAACGCCATCTCAAAATGTTACTTCAAAAGTAATCCTCTCGTTCTTTATTCGGAGGTCTCTCACCTGAGCAGGCTGTTAATGGAGGAGGTGCCTCGGTCGATGCTTCTCAGAACGTCCCCCGTCTTGCGGCCGAGGTGCCAGCGCAGAGAGAGGGAGTGCAGGTGGGAGAAGAGACGCACCTGAACCACGCGGTTGGTGTACTGCTGCACCCGGATCCAGAGGAAGGAGCGCATGTTACTGATAAACCCTGACGCTCCTGGGAAGAGAAGAAGGTAGATTTTTCAGAGTGATGAAGAGTGCTAAGGCCTACTGTATGTGAAAGGTGACTTTAGGCTGTTTCCTCAGGGTTGGGAAAGTGTAGCAAATGTCAAATTAACCAAAACCTGCATTGTATTTCAATATCTGACCCTTTAAGGTTTCAAAAACAACACTCAACACAGCCGTGCGTGATGTCATCAACAGTTTGTGGCTTACAAATCTCACTCTCTGCACGTTATGTGGCCAGAACACAAATGAGTTGTTCTTACCTGCCCCGCCGCCCTGAAAGAACTTGAGCAGCACATAAATACACACTGTAGTAGCCAGAGCGCGCCAGGGGCTTTGGTCAGTCAGTTCATTCACTAGAGAGAGAGAGAGAGAGAGAGAGAGAGAGAGAGAGACATTACAGTAAATCTGATGTAGAGGGATTTAGCTTCAGCATAAAGAAGATGCATCATATATTCTTTCTCTTGGCATGTTGGTACCTGGCCTGTAGATGCAGAAACTTAAATTTATCTTGAGAAGCAGCTCTGTCAGACCAACTCAAAGGTCAAAGGTAAAGTTACTCACCGATATTCTTGTAGTAAATAGGCACAAAGACATTAATCGCTCTCTCGACTCCGAGCAGACACAGACAGAAGACGACGAGCATCTGGAGGAAGAGGCTTCCTCGGGGCCACATGTAGGGGACGAGCAGCCGGACCTTCTTCCTGAAGCCCTGCCATGTCGACTGGTTCTCGTCTGCTCTGCCCAGCAGACTCTGAGAGGGAGAAACAGAATAAATATCAAACACAAATTTCATAATTCGTAATAATTTCCCAGAGTGCATGTCGCATTTTGTGAGTCATACAAGAAGGAAAACGAGGTGATGGTGTTTTCTTTGTGCGTCACTACCTGAGCGCTGTTCTCGACGTCCCGCTCGTCTTCGTTTATCAGCAGCATGTACGGTCTCCGTGGTAACCCGGGAGCTTTGAAACCGATGAAGAAGAGCAGACCGGTGCCGGTGTAGCGCATCAGCCACAGGGCAAACTGCACCTGAGGGGTTCACAGAACGTAAAAAGCAGATCAACATGGTTACCTAACTGCAGTTTAACAGCATGAGATAATGGAGGGATGAAAATGAAATGATCATAACGCAGCTCCGCACAAACATGACACCCTGGTCCTTATTCATAAAGTTATGTGTGCACTCTAACAGTGGAATACAACAACTGGTGTTTTTTTACAATCCTCTTCTCTCCATTCACTCAACAACTTCTAGAAATATTTTTATTTTAAGAAAAAATGTCATCAAAACTGTTTCAGTGACAATATGTCTTATTAAAACACACTGTTTTAGGCTTTGAGTGGATGAAATATGACAAAGAAGGAAGCCTCTGAGGCTCAAACTTCAAGTCATGCTGATCATTATACAACCACTGACTCAGCATGGGAGGGGCTACATTTGGTCTTGTGATTTGATTGGTTAACCGATCAGGTTTCAGGCTCTGAAAGTCAGACTCAGCAATGACTCAGCAGAAAAACGGCCACCAGAGTCTTGTGGCTGTGTTATGAATTTCTTTTTTGCATGCCTGCTCGTGTGTCTCTGCTGCCTGGGTGTGAATGAAGCAGGACAGGTTGCACAGCTTCACGCAGTGACTCAACAGACACACCTATCATTAATCAAAAACTACACTGTGGCCTATTTAACTGTTAAAGCAAACATCATTAAACTGTCAGTGAACCATCATTAATTGCAAAGGCATTTAGCCAACACTTCTCTACAATTGGTAGCTCCCTGTCTGGTTATTCTCACTCTGACTTTACCCCGACTCAACAGATGTGGCAGTTCCTTTTCCTTCAGAACTATCACACCAACTGATGTCCAACAGGTCACTGATGGTCTAAGCTCTGGATGCAGTGCTGGTCCAGATGGTCTGGAGATTAAGTTCTTTAAACTTGCTAGATTCCCAGTTATCTTTCAAACCTCATATCAACTCAATTTCTAAGAAAATATATGGTCGTCTAAAATCACTTTATCATTCTGTTGAATGTTTTTCACTGCAAGTCCGGTGACACAATTGGTGCTGCCAATCCTTGATTATGCTGATGTTATCTATGGGAACACCTCAGAGACAAATCTTCGACCTCTCACTATCTTATACAACAGTCTCTGTAGATTTGTTCTGAGGTGCCCATATAGGACCCATCACTGCCTAATGTATGAGTCCTTGAATTGGCTGGCTCCCAAGTCCAGAAGGACATTTCATTGGTCGCTATTTACTTTTAAATGTATCTATTTTAATTTTCCTCCGTACTTGAAACAATTTCTAATCCCTTTCAGTTCACAGTATAGCCTAAGGCATACTGATCATCTATTTTTCCTCACACCAAGAATCAGGAAAGAAATTGGTCGCCGTGCATTTAAATTTAACTTCACTTAGATCTATCACCTCTTTTCATATCTTTAAATCATCTCTACTTACTCATTGTCAAACATCCTGCTCTTGCTTTTGATTTTCTTTCTCTGTTGGACTTAGTTTGTCTGGACCTGCTCTCCTCTTGCTTGCGCTCGTGTATCTCATATGTATATGTATGTACTGTTCTGTACCTTGTGCCTTAATGTTGCGTACACTATGTGTGTAAGTCCTGTATAGTGTGTGTGCATATATATATATATGCAGAGGTTTTCCTTTCTTTTTTTATTATTATATTTCTTTTTTTCTCATTAGATTTTTTCTGATTGTGTAATACTGGCTGGTTGGTGGGTGGCTAGGCTTGGGGGAGCATTAAGTGTGAGTGAATGTGAGGTGTGTGTGTTTGTGGTGTGGATGTCTCTGTGTTTAAATGTTTGGTATTATGTTTTAGATTTACCTTTTATTTTGATTTTGTATTATGATGATTAATTTATGTTTTGTAAGGACCCCCTTGAAAATGAGATGATGCATCTCAAGGGGCTATCCTTGAAATAAATTACAAATTACAAATCATTAAACATGAACACGACGATACATGTGAGAGAAAATGGTTGCAGAATTATCAGCCCATGTTTTGAGCAACATCAGAGACACAACAAGGCGTGATGCATCGTTGAAAGTGGACATAAAGGTTGTAAGATAAGCTGCATGATGGTACAGAGTCTACAAGTTATCTGAGTACAGCGGAGAGCACTCTATAAAATGAAGGCTGCAAAAACGAGGAAATTATGACTTAGAACAAGAAATATCAGATGCCACAATTTTCTTTTGAATGAGAGTCTCTTAAAACCAGGTCATGCAAACTAAAATCAAGCTCTTCAGTCTGCTACAAAGATCACGTGTGCTCACATTTTGCAACTCCCTCAAGCTAATGTCTTAATGATAAGTTTACCAAACGTGCCGAAAAAAACAAGAAGCTAACCTTGAAATAAGCACATTACTCAGCTACAGAGAAAAGACTTTTGGGATTATTTTCTCAACGTATAAAAAAAGGTGCGTAACCATCCAAATCTGATGCTGTTGCAACTTTCTGGGAGTAAATCTACAGACCCTGGAGTCCACGGAGGAAACAAATTCCCCCATTGTTCTGAAAACGAGTAATCCTGATTTAGTGGAGTTGGACTGGAAATGAGATTTGGATAATTATGACGAGAATTAACCTCAAGTCAAATACCTTTTTGTGTCAAAGTAACCAACACGTCAAAATACCATGTTGGGCAAAAGATCAAATGACTCATTTTGGTGTTTATTTTCCTGTAAATCTGTCAGAATATTTAAATCCTGTGCTGTGGTGCAACTGAGAATTGTTCAGGAAAATTCCCAGCGACCTGTGAGTGAGTCCCCGGTGTGATCTCTATTCTCTTTTATCACCTTCTTTACTCCTCATAAGTTGAGACTGTGAATCCTACCAATAAAACACGGCGTTGATATAAAGGAAAAAACTATCATCATAGAAACTCAAAGATTTCAGGGGTGCCTGTCCTGAAATATTTAGAGAGTGCATGTGTAAAAAAAATGTTCTCACTTTATGAGATACAAACTCTCTCCACCACACAATCGGCTGTCTTTGTACTTAAGATGAGTTTTAAAGAAGTTGACCTCACGTTCGCTCTTTCCTCACCTGTTGCTGATCGTCCTCCAGACCCCACCACCAGTGAGGACTGTACCAGGAGACGAAGGCGAGGTTCTCCGCGGAGAAGGCCAGGGCCCAGAACAGCAGCAGGGCCGTGCTGTGGCCCCTGGTCCGATCCATCACCAGCGCCCTGCGCCTCTCCGTCCTGAGCAGTGCTATGGCCCAGACCCAGCCGAGCGCAGAGAAACAGCCGTACAGAACCACGTAACCCGGGAGCTCTCCCCCGCTGGCGGCTCGCCACACCAGCCCACCCAGAAACTGCAACAGGAGGAGGACGGAGACGACCTGCTGGAGGACGTAGAGGCGAGAGCGAGGGATGAACTTCGGCTCCATCGCTGTGCCGTATTTCTGGTAGAAGATGCAGTGCACGGTGCCGAGGAAGAAGGCGATGGTGAGGAGGATGGAGGGGACCAGGGTGAAGTAGAAGCATGGGGCGATGCCTTCATCCACCCAGGTGTGGGAGATGGAGGCGTTGACTTCACAGTAGCTTTGAAGGAACACCATGGCTGCACCTGGAGAGAGAGTATGAAGAAACTGATGTGTTTCATAGACTTAAGTAGTTTTTGCCTACAAGGGGAAGTGATTGGAGCTTGTCATTGTGGTGTCGATTAAATGCTGCATCATGCACGTTGTGCTATTTGTGTAGGTCCCCCGTCTTCTTTTCTCAGATTTGCACACAGTTTTTTGTCTCGTCTGTTATCTTCTGTTATCAATTTAACACGATTTTACGATTCATCTTTACATCCCTCGTACGAACCGGTTTCATTTATTACTGCGTTTGTTTTTAAATCAGCCTCACGGTCAAAGACAGAAAAAGCCCAAACAATATTATGATAATCTGTTCTAAGTTTGCCAAAATGAAACAAGGAGGCTTAATTCTGTTTTGCAAGCAGCAAATCCAGCAGGAAGCAGATTTGTCTGGACTTACTCCCAACACGTTCTTCTCGCACGTGAACTTGTATCTGCTTCCTGCAGGATGTTGTCATGTTTGTGCACAGCTCATCATGCCCCTCTGTGATCAGGCTGCTCAACGCCAGTGTTGTACATCTCCAGATCTGTTTGGTCTCATGATCTCTTCTTAAAGGCCACGGCCTCCTGCTGAACTCAAATATATTTTTTCCTTAATCAATAAATGAGAAGTGAGTGGACCCCAGGATGCCCACCCCTGTTGATACTATAACCTTGATGTAGCACAAAAACAAATAAAAATGGACTTTGATGGTGAATAACATCCCTTAAACAGAGCTGGTTTCCTTCTCTTTAGGTGTCCTTAAACATGCCTTGTTTGCATGACTCATCTACATTAAGAACTCGCTGAGTCACGGTTCACTAACACACCTTCTTCAGCTGCTGCTTACAGAAGACAAACCTCATATTCTGCCAAACATTACTAACATGTTTGCTGAATGGCAGAGCAAAATTAAACTTCATGAGAGTGATAAATTGAGTTTTTAACCACTCCTACAGTAAATATTCTCCCTTGACCAGGTGAAGGGAAAACAAGCAATGATATCACCACTGCAGCTTTAGCGTGCATTAAAGAGGCTGTAATTTATTTTTTTTTTTTTTAAATAACAGTGTTGTTGGGTCTTTATTTACCTGTATTTCCAGGTGGTTGCTGTCCACTTCTCTTGTCAGAAACAGAGGTTACTCCACAGTCCACTTCGCTGTTAGCTTAGCCTCGTCGTCTAAACGCAGCTGAACCTCAAATATCGGTTTTAAAAGTCACACAGGTGCGAGTAGGTGCTGTGTAGTGACATTTACGCTGAAATGTGTCTTGTATTCATGATGCTGCTGCGGCTGCGGCTGCGGCTCTTGTGTCCTTGCTACACGCGTTAAACAATCCCCCTCTGCGATCGACACTTTACACAACAGTCCGTGTTCGACTACACGGCCTGGGACTCAGCGCCCTCTAGAGGTCGGCGACGGAGCTGTTACAGAAAGAGCAGATGGTACACACAGGTGTAAGGTGTATGCCCACTTATTTTTCAGTCTCAATAGGGTGTATACTCACTTCTGATTAATAAATGATGACTTGAATTGCAAAACCAATTAATTGTATAACTTATCCAATCAGAGTTAATAACCTACACTCAATTTTAGGTGAACTAATTTAATTGTTTATAACAATATTTGGCGAAGTAAGAAAACGGGTTATTTCTTCTTTTTTTTTTTTTTTTTTAAACTCCTTCCTGAACAAGCTTAAAAAAATATCGCAAAATTTAAAATTGGCTGAGCTTTTAAATCCTGCTCCACCGTACATATTTCAATATTTACCTTTAACCCTTTCCTCTTGCTTTAGCTCATTCTGGTGTGTTTGTCTTTTATATTGCCATTTAGATCATTGCAGGGGTACATTTTGGATGCAAATGTCCGTATTCCAAGCATCAACAATGATATAACTACGATTGACACCCCTGTAGTTTCATTTCAGGGAATCTTTTGACGTTGAAGGTTGATTGTAGGAAACATGCATGCGAGCATGCCATACTACAGCATGACCAGCAGGGGGCAGTAAATACTAAGGAATACGCAGAGGTAACCACTTTTTTACATCTGACTGATGTGTGAACAATAGCTCATAAAAGCTCCATCACAAAAGGTCCCACAGGTAGCGAGGGGAAAAAAATACTTCTGCAGGATAACAATGACATATAATAGCATGAATATTATTGCTAATGGTGTAATTTTACTGCTATATTTAGGCTGCTGAATGAGTGATTAATGACTGCAGCAACATAACCCAAGTGCCTCTTCTGCTGAGAAGAGTAATTTTCAAGTCAAAGGAACATAAAAAGCATCGTCTAAGAGTGACGGAGGGTTTTGAGTTAAGAGCTTTTTCCCATCAAACTGTAAATTCAAGGCTGTGCACAAAGAAGGGAAGTGACTCAAAAGGCAGCTGTCGCATGTGTCCGTCCTATGGGGAGGAATAAAAGGCTGCTCAGAATCAAAGTGTACCTGTGTGTGTGTGTGTGGAAGAAGAAAAAAAAGGGGGAAGTATATCCTGGTGTATAGAAACAGAAAAAAAAAAAGGGAAGGGAAAGAGCTTGTGATGTCTGGTGAGAGCTAACACCCACCCACACACACACACACAGACACACACACATGCACACACACTGGGATGGGGAAAAAAAGGGGTAAATCTTATCATTTAGAGGCTTCACAATGGGAATAAAGAGCTGCTAATCTGCTTCATCTCCCCGGCTCTTTTGTGCGAGTGGAAATGGACCTTCTGTCCATCGCCTCGCCTCTTTTGTCTCCCCGTGGACGTGACGGCCTGCCCATCACAGCCCTCATCTCTCCTCATGGACTCAGCTGGAGCCCTTTAGGTCCTTTAGGTGGCTCTTTCTTTTCTCCTATTCCACCTTCCTTTTCATTTCGTTCCCATTTCTGCTGCTTTCATTGTCCGCCTGACACACATATGGAAGGTGTGGGGATAAGGCGGATGTGCATGCCAATCTAATCCCTTGATTAAGTGGGGGAAAGAATATGGGTGGTGTTAGGAAAGCTACGTCCAATCTCATTAGCACTGAGCGCGATCGATACAGCTTTGGGTTGTGCTGAATGGGATTCACTGAAGGATTGTGAATTCAGCTCGCTGTGGATGACCTTTGCAACCGTTAATACTCACAAATCACACATGATCTATTGTGTGCTAGAGCGGCTAACAAGTGTGCAGACAGACTGTTCATATAGATGACACGGGTTGGGGAGAACCTACCTCTACTACAAGCTTTAATTTAACGTTATAAATGTTTCCAAAAAACATGTTTGGGAGAATTAGAAAAGGGAACACCACTCGAGAGCCCTTTTCACACATGCACAAAACTCAACTTAAATTTTGTAGTGAGCTGCATGTTTGAACAACTTCATCCAGAATTTTTCACACCCGCCTCCTTGTGAAATGTCCGCTTAAGTCGGGGTGAGCCGATGTGTGTGAACACAACAGGTTATATTGATTGGTGCAAAATCGGTGGGCTGCTTCACCCTCTTTCATCTTCTTTTTTGTCCCTGTTGAAGATTAAAATCATTCTCAATCATAAATATGATACATTTTCACAAGAACATTCATGCCAAGAATGCAATATTCAATCATATGCACATATTCGTTTAATAGTATGATGCTTTTACACATTTTGATGTATGCTGACTGATTTTGACATCTGTGTTCCTGGCAAAGCTTTGCCCTTTCTGCTACTGTACATCTGTTTTTGAAGAGGAAATCTTATCTTGCCAGAGATAACCCACAGCTGAAACCAAAAACAGAGTTTCCTGGATATAAGTGTGCCAAGTCTGGTTTTAGATATCTGGTCCAGACACTTCCGTTGACTGTCTGGAAGGGAAAAATCTGCTGCATCACTGCGGCACTTGAGTGAAGGGATGTCCAGTTTTATTGCTGAGTGACAGCAAACTCAGAATTTCTGTGAAAAGATAAAAACACATACAGATGCACTTATTTTTGCATACAGATGCACTTATTTTTGATTTTTGAGGCTTTTTCATAAAAGCCTCTAAACGGCTGAGTAACTGCAGCACAATGGGTCGAGGACCTCAAATTCAAGAGACGTTTGAAAGAGCTTTTCACTTGAGAAGATTTTTCCACTAGTGCCCACTGAGCTCGACATCGAATCTCTCGGAGTTTGACCTGCATTGTCCGACCCCTGCAGCCCACGGAGAGCAGGTCAGCCACTTTTTCATGCAGTGAAGAGAGCAGCTCAGGGGGATAAGATCAGCCGTCAAACCACAAAGGAGCTTCTACCTACACGGCTGCTGGAGTGCACCCTCATGTACAGCTCGAGAGGCAGGAAGTGTGTGTTTGTGTGTGAACATGTCAAGTTCTTTGGCCTTGTCAGTTTAAAGGAATGTGAAAAGAACAGATATGATGCACAAATCAACTCCATTAAACTGTTTTTTCTTGACACTATCAAAATGTCCAACTTTGTATCAAGTGCAGTTTTACTTAGGTCTTTGTCTTTGTTATTTTGCTAGTCCTTCTGGTACTCAGTGTGCTCACCTTGTGCCAAGTGTCTGGCTACTTGTGGTTACCTGCTGATGCCACTACATACCACACTATATGTTCTTTATGAGACCTGGTTTGATATTTGTGTGTATTTAGGAGCAATGAAACAAGCACAGTTATGATTAAAGAGCATTACATTGTTATTGTGATTGTTTGAATTAGAATGTTGAATAAAGTTTGAGTTCAGGATGAAATCCAGAACCAGGTCTTTGTGCCAACAGAACATTCAGACACACAGTCAGTCCTCAATCTCACAACTTAAAATCATTACACCTCTGACTACCTTCATGATCACTCGTGATCATTACTGTTAGCGTTGATCATTTTACAAACCAAGAGAAGACATCAGAGATCTGAATTATTATAACATCAGTCTGCACCAGAGACCAACATGGGTCTACTGTTGGACCACATCTTGAGGAGAAGCCTCCAACTGACATCTGTACAAAGAAAGTACTTCTCCATCACTTTCTTTGGACCTGAGGAGGAGCAACTGGAAGACACTCCTGAACCTGAAGAGCTGGCTGTCAGCCCTCCAGAGGTTGTTTGGTCATCAAACCTGCCATCTCCATCGACTGAGGAGCAGTGCCCTCAGATGTCTGTGGATCAGTCTGTGGAGGAAGAAGTGAGCCATCTGGTGGCCCAGTACCATTTTAAAAGAGCAACTGAGATTCCTCTGCCTTCGAGTCCCGTGCCTGATACTGAGCTGGACAACTCAAATACAGATCAGGATCAGGAAGTGGCTGATTTGGTTTATGCAAGAGACACTCCTCTGAGAAAGGACTCAGCTGTGCCTTGTATTTTCCCAGCTCTGGAAGTTCTTCCTGATCTGATGCCCCTCAGTACCCTGGCAGAGATTCCTCTGCCCAGTGACGATAAGGTAGACATCACATACGCCAGGGAGAACATGTTCCCTGACTTAAAATGGGTCGAGTTTCCTTCTCTGGATGAACAACTCAATGATTTCATGTCCCAGTATCTATGCAAGAGGGCTTGGAGGATTCCTCTCCCTCCAAGTTTTCTACCTGATGAGCTGAAATCTCCAAGAAGAACATTTACTCTGATCCAAACCTGATTGGGTTTCCACTCCTGGGCGACCTGGTGAAGGATTTGTCGTCCATGCACTTAAGGGACAGGCCTTCATCTTCACCTTCTTCTCCAGATCTTTATGACAGCGATGATCTGCCGTGTCTGTTTCCGGCTTTACATGTTGAAGGTCCTGAACTGATGTCTCTCTTAATGTGCTGGCAGACATTCCACTGCCACGGAGTCCTCTTCCTGAAGTCCATGTGCTGGACAAGGCAAGGCCATCGTGTCGGAAGAGAAGAGGATTTCCCAATGAGGAAATTCCTCTGAAATTTTGTAAACTCAATCTGCAGGAGGATCCACAACAAACCAGATCTTCAATTGCTGTCATTGTGCTGGACACGGGGTCCGATGAGAGGAAATATCCAAGTATGAACAACATTGGCTTTCCTTCTCTTGAAGATCCGGACCTTTTACCTGAAGAGTCACATCCAGTCCAGTCCAGTCTGAGGGATGTGTTTCAGTGTGCCAACATGAATGAGGCAAAGTCTTTAAAAAGAAGAGGCTTTCCTTCAACGGACTATGAAACTATAATATATATAATAAACTATAATGCCTCAGGAGGAACTATCACTTCCAAGTCCTCCACCTGCGGAGAAGGGGTATCCAGATATGGGGAACTTTGGATTCCCTTGTCTGGACTAGCAAAATGTTTTTTAATTGGATACAAAATGTCCATATGCACATCTCTCTGACACATTTAAATAAATACCTTTGCTTGTTTGTACCCTTGTTTTAGTGAATATTCAAAAAGACTCAATAAAAAAAGTAAGTATGGGATGTAT